TTGTATGTTGACCTTGTAACCAGCTACTTGACTGAATTTGGTTATTAAGTCTAGAAGACTTTTGGTGGAGTTCTTGGGGTCTTCTATATAGAGTATCATTAGACATGCATTATTACCATACCTGGCAGTGTCACACACAACTTTTAAGACTTCTGTACTTGGAAAAATATTGTAAACCATTTGCTATTTATTTAAAAAATGGTGCTGAGCAGTGTTTTTTGTTTTTTTATTACAGGTGCTGGTCGGATTGAATTATGTTCTGGTTTATTGGAAGGAGGGACCACACCCAGCATGGGTAAATGCCTATTTTTCACAAATTATCTTTTTTATAGAGCCAAGGCACGACTGATTATCAGTCTCATGCAGTCATTAAGAATGCTATGAATATCAGTTTGAAATGCTTATGGTTTACATAGCATAATCAAAGATTTGATCATTTCTTTCTCTAGCATTAAAAAGGTTGAAGTAAGTAGCTGGTGTGTTATACTGATTTAGCTGCTCTGCAGTAAAATCAGTTACATCTTTCTTATTTATTTCTGAAAAATATTTTTGCTGGGTGTAAAATTCTAGGTTGACAGTTTTTTTTTCTCTTTCAGTTCTTTGAAGATGTTTTTGCGCTATCTTCTTGCTTGCATTGTTTCTGATAAGAAATCTATCATCCACATCTTTGTTTTTCTCTATATACCAATTTGGTTACTTTTAAGATTTTTTTCTTCCCAATTTTGAATAGTTCAATTATGATGTACCTGAATATAGTTTTCCTCATGATTTTTAGACCTGTGCACTTATAATTTCCATCATATTTGGAAAATTTTCAGCAATGTCCTCCACTTCCTCCTTCAGAGATTTCAGTTATATTTGTATTAGATTGCTTGAAATTGTCCTAGAACTTACTGATAAGCTACAATTTTTAAGAAAAATCTCCTTTCTGTATTTTATTTTGCATATTTTTTCTTCAAGTGTACACATCTTTCCTGCTGCAATGTTTAATCTGTTAGTCTTGCCTAGTATATTTTTCATCTCGTACATTGTAGTATGTAGATATTTGAATTTTTTTATATCTCCCTTGTGTTTTCTGAATGTTTTTGAACATAAAGGATGAAATTATAATAGTTGTTTTAATGACTTTGCTAATTCTAACATCTATTCAAGTTCTGGGTCTCTTTAATTTGATTGACATGTCTCATTTAATTTAAAATGTAGTATGAATTTTATTTTATTGGTTACTCAATGTTTTTGCATTCAAATATATAATTTTGAGCAGTTAGGTCACTGGTTACTTGGGAACATTTTGGAACTTTCAGGTCTTCGTTTTAAGATTTATTAGGCAATTCTGGAGTAATAATCAATCTGGAACTTAGGAAAGACCTTTCTCTGTACTCCATTCAGTGTCTGTGATTCTTGAAGTTTTTCTGTCCAGTTGATGAGAACAGTCATTATTCACAACATGGTATAAATGATGGACACATTCTTTCTTATCCTCTTTATCCTCTTTAGTAATTTCTTCCTGGCCTTGTATAGTTTCTTTACATGTATCCATCGGTAAGTACTTAGCTGAATATTAAAGGGGGTTCTTTGCAGATATCTAGAGTTCTTTTTTCTCTCTTCCCTGGTATTTTTTCCTGAAAACTGTAGCTACCTTGGTCTCCGTGGACTCCAAGCTTTGTCTCAACTCAGAATTCTGTAGGTTCCCTCTCCCTGTGCTGTGTCCTTGAGACTCTCCAGGCAGTAAACCGGTCAAACATCACTCTTACCCTACTTGTTTTTGTCTTTCAGGGATCATTGTCTTTTGTTGTTTGATATTCAAAGGATTGTTTTAAATACTTTGTCCATATATTGGTTACCATAGGAAAGAGGGTAAAACTAGTTCTTGTAACTGTCTTGACCAAAAGCAGAAGTCCCTGTATGAATTTTTGACTCCAGAGTTATGCTACTCTGCTACTGATATTGATACTGATATGCTATTGATCTTGATGTGGCATTATTTAGTATAAAAAATTTATATGTTTAAGAGCCCTTTGGAACCTTTTCACTAAAAAGGCAATCTCCGGCCATTCTATAATCCCTACAGTGTATTTGTAAATTAGAATGTAATCTGTTTTTCACAACTCCAGTCATCCATTGCTTGATACTGGGCATATTTCTATTCTGTGCAAACTGAAGTTCTTTTAGCAAGGAAAAAGAAGCGATTCATATTTGGTAAACAAATGATGGTGCTTGTCACAAATCTTGTATTGTTGAGTGTTTCCAGGTTGACCACATTGTGTCATATGTAGGTACTTTTGTTCAAATATCTCTGCAAAATACCACAAATAGGTAGAATTTTTCTACCTTTCAAAAATAGGTTTTGCTAAATTTCTTATCCAGTAAGGTGACATAAACTTTGGAAACATTTAACCATTTGTATAGAGGATTTTAAATACAGCTGTAATCAGTTAGAAAAGGAGAAATTTGGTCCTGGGGAATGTACTCATAGAACATTGAGGCTAGTAGTTACTACACTTTCAAGTGTCGTAACCAATAAAAGGGTTCTGAGTCAGAAGGATTTTTGTTGGGACAACTGATAAGTGCTTTTATATTGCAGTATCTTCAGTTTTCTAAATTGCTCTTTTTAATTCCTGACTTCCCTATTGCTTACTTTCTACCAATATATACATTTTTTTCTTATTGTCCTTCTTCCCTTTATATCCATTTTCTCTGGTTTCCTCAGTCAACTCTTTCTTTTGGGTGTAATTACAAGAACAAATGTACAAATGTACATGTAATATTTTATTGACTTTCTGGATCTTTTAGCTCACATTTGAATTTTAGTTTGTTTTTTGTTCTTATAGGTGTTCTTCAAGTAGTGAAACAGAGTGTCCAGATCCCAGTTTTTGTGATGATTCGGCCACGTGGAGGTGATTTTTTATATTCAGATCGTGAAATTGAGGTGATGAAGGCTGACATTCAGCTTGCCAAGCTTTATGGTGCAGATGGTTTGGTATTTGGGGCACTGACTGAAGATGGACATATTGACAAAGAGCTGTGCATGTCTCTTGTGGGTAAGAATTTGCATTAAGATGATTGTGTTTATGCTCTCAGTGCAGAAAAATATCACAAAACTGACTTTTCAGTCATACCTGCAGGCACTTAACTTACGCATCCTATTTTAAGCACTAGTTATTTAGATGATCTACAGTAACTGAGGAAAGCCAAGAGAGCTTTATCACACAGAACCTCCACCCTAAACATCTAAATTAACTACATACTGTTTAAAATAGGTAGAATGTGTCTACAGGTGTGACTGAGAAGTCAGTTTTTTGATGCCTATCTTAGTTCCTTTAACCACTATACCAAAAACTTTTAAAAGCTGTTGCAGTCAATGCGTATGGAGAGAAGGGGAGAGGAGAGAAGCAAACTTTTATATTACCAAGCTAAAGTATTTCTTAAGATCCACAGAGGGGCAAGTAGTAGATGTAATGCTTTCTAGTTGCCAGAAATTTTACTTGGTGTGACTCAATCAAAATCAGAATTTAGTGGAAAGATAAGACTTGAATTTGTAAGGCTACTGTTCTATTTTTATTGTAGTTCACATTTTTTACTTCTTAGGAGAAGAAAGTACAAAGTTTCAGCTAACATGGAAGATTCTGTATATAGTAATCAATGGTGACTCTTCTTGTTTTTTTTTTTCTATTAGTTATATGTTTGTGATATATAATAATTACATTCATCCAGGTGTGGAGGCACACACCTGTGATCCAGCACTCAGGAGGCTGAGGCAGGAGGATCACCAGCAGTTTGGAGCCAGCCTGGGCTACATAATGAGTTCAAGGCCAGCTTGATGTACATAGCAAGACCCTGTTTAAAAAATAATTATAATAATTACATTCATCTTGGGTAATTGGAACACACTTATATCACATCTTAATCATTTTTAATTCCCCTTCCCTTCCCCATGCTCCTGTCTGCCTCCATCTCTAGATCCTGTTTCTGTCTCCACAGAGTCTCCCTCCCTTTACCCTGTCATCTGTGTTGGGTTGTGTTTAGTTTTGTAATTCAGGTTGGCCTTGAACTCACCATGTAGCCCAGGCTGGCCTCAAACTTGCAGCAATCCTCCTGCCTCAGCCTCCCAAGTGCTGGGATTACAGGCATGCACCACCATGCCTGGATGTACTTCTTCTTTTGAGAAGTGTCTATTCAGTGATCACCTCTTTTTCAATCCTGTTATATGACTTTCTTTTTATAGCTCTTTGCCGACCTCTGCCAGTCACTTTCCATCGAGGTGAGTTATTTCCATTTTAGAAATTCTCTTGAATGGTGTCAGTTGTCTGGTATCACTAGAGGCCACTAGATGTCTATGGAACACAGTTCTATAGTGTTTACAGTGTTACTAGTTGGTTTTTATAAATTTTTTAAGGCTCAGTTATGAAAAGTTGTTAAAAGTGATGGTAGGATATAAAGATAGAGGGATAGATTAAGTATTGGTTGCATTGAATGTATCTATCCAAATAACTGTCCTGAGATTCATTTTAATTAGATGACTTTAGATCATGTGCACCCATAAAAAGAATAAAACACTGTGGCCAGTGAAATGTACTGGCAGATTTAAGCTAGAAAAAACTATTCTAGAGCTAGAGGATAGGGAGGTCAATTTTCTCAGATAGAGGCTTCTTGGGAGAGAGATTGGATATGTGAAGATAAATTGGGCATTTTTAGGAAGGGGGAAACAAGAAATAGATGCTAAATCATCAATGAACAGATATCTACTATAGTATACAAAATTACTTTTCATGATTGACAGTTTGTCTGTGTTGTATAAAGAAATGCTTTGCATTCTCAAATTGGTAGTTAAAATTCCCATACTCTTTGGCTAGTTCTTGAAGTGGAGGAACAAGTGTCACTTTTGCACTGGTATTGCACATGAAAGGAAGGCAGTCAGATTTTTTCAATTTTTTCCCCTTCATTATATGCTTAAAAAATTTTTAAATGCCTTTTTTTCCCCTTGTAAGTTAGCATTCAGAGATTAGGTTAAGAATGCATATCAGTATCTGCGTCCATTTTTAGAAGTTAGGGATAAAGTTTTTGGTATCTTTGTTTCTTTTGAAATGTATGGCACGACCAGAAAAATATTTTCTTTGACTTGATGTTAGTAATGCTTCTTATAAGCTAACAGTAACTAAAAAATCTTAAGTTGCTTAAAGTCAGCATTTTGAGGGTAGCCACACACAAGAAAATTTAAACATGAAAAGTATTTTAAGTTAGTGAGCATTTACGTGAAAAATGTATAGTTTAAAATTTTTATGTGTTAAATAACTTAAAAGCAAACTAGTTTTATAAAACATATTTTTCCTTTTGTGAACTTAGAAAATGACCTCAAATTTCTGTTCATTTCCTTTTCTCCAGTAAGTTTAACAAAAATATTTACTTAATTTGTAGAAATTTTGCGTTGTCCTGGATACTACACTTTTTACACTTATTTAATTAGGTAGTATGGTAGTGTAGTTACTGGTGAGACAGTGCTGCTACTGAAAAAGGAAAATCCTCTGCAGTAGTTTTTGCTGCCTACATAATGTTAAAGGGAGAAAAGAAGGGGCCTGTCCTAGAGAACCAAGTAGTACCTGCTAGCATAGATGAGAAGTTCTGTATCATGTAGCAGTGCAGAGAACCAAAGATTTCTGTTTTGAGATTCCTAGATCACTTTCCTCTCTCTTGGGGAGTGAAATTTCTTAGAAAGTATGATAGAATTGAAACTTCATGTAGTCTCTTAAAAACAACTGTCCTTATGCTATAAGCCTTAAGTATATCAGGTAAATGAATTAATATAAAACATTAATTAATAATGAGAATGTGAGCCAAGGTTTTTACTAAAACCAGTGAGTATAGTGTTTCATTTTGTATAATCTAGTTTGTCTGAAGTCTTAGAGCAGTTTTACATATTTGGTCACTTACCTATTGCACATAACATTTCTATCATATCTGAATGCTACCTGTGTACATTTATTTAATAATATTCTTAATAAAATCTTAAGTTTATTTTAAAGAGAAACTTTTATAATTACTGAAGAATTGGAAACTTTTTTCTTCTTGTGTACATTTAAGTAAATAGACCAGTTAAAATGTGTACCAAGCTGGGTGTGGTGATGCACACCTGTGATCCCATCACTTTGGAAGCTAAGGCAGGAGGATCACTGTGAGTTCAAGCCCAGCATGGACTGCTACATAGTAAGTTCAAAGCCAGCCTGAAATACAAGCAAGACCCTCTCTCAAAAATAAGAAATGTATACTAATAAAATGATCATGCATATGGTAATGGTATTCAGGCTGTGGTGTGCTGGTAAACTGGCACTTGAAAAAAAAAGAGCCCTGATTTTTAGTGTTTTCTGATTTCTGTGGCTTATATATGCTACCTTGATTAATTTCAAGATGTCAGTTTATTTACAGTCTGACTTGCAAAATTCCTGAATATTTAACAGTGGCGTTTATAAGGCAGTATAATCTGGGTTCAGTGTACAACTGTATGTAAACTATATAACGCTGCAGTTTTGCACATTTGTTCAAAATTTATTTCAGCTTTTGACATGGTTCATGATCCAGTGGCAGCTCTAGAGACCCTCTTAACCTTGGGATTTGAACGAGTATTGACCAGTGGATGTGACAGTTCAGCATTGGAAGGACTACCTCTAATAAAGCGACTCATAGATGAGGTATAAGCATTTTTTTTTCTTCCTAAGACTGTTGTGCTTACTCTTTTTTGTTGTTCTGCTAGGTTGTAAAACTAAATATTACTGATTTTATGATTACTTCAGGAAAAAGCAAACAGGTGGTGATGTACTTATATAATTCTTATTTCTTTTTTTTAGTACTGGGGATCGAACTTGGGTCCTTGTGCTTGTGAGGCAGGCAGCAGAGCCACTGAGCTAAATCCCTGGCCTGATCTGATGTAATTTGGATGAGCACAGCAAATTTTACATTTCTATGCCATCAGCATTGCCTGACTTTAAGTCATATTTTTTTTCATTGTCAGCCTATATATACTCAGGGAATTCCATATAAAATTTCTGAGAATTATCATTTTCAAGTATATTCCAAAATTAAAATTACATTCTTCTTTCATTTTTTTCTCCATTTTTTAATATAGGAGCAAATATATTTTACTCTTATATGACTTCTCCTGATGAGCTAGCATCATTTGTAGGGCAGTCAGGAATGGCTTTGTAGTAGAAGTATGTCTGTGTTTTAATGACACCAGTCCAGAGGCATTCTAAGTGAGTAAAGACTTTGCGATAAGAGAGTTCTGTGTTTGAGAGTCAAGTTTGACACTTACTTGCCATGTAATGTTGAGTAGGTTACTAATTTTGAAGGCTCTATTTTCTTTCTTTTTTTTTTTTGGTACTGGGGATTGAACTTGGATCCTTGCGCTTGCGAGGCGGGTGGCGAAACCACTGAGCTAAATCTCCAGCTAGGCTCTGTTTTCTTGTGTGTGAAATTGAGATTAATTTTTCCTTCATAGGGTTTCTCTAAGGATTGAAAGTCTTAGCACAGTGCTCGGTGTATAGTAGGTTTTAGTACATTTTAGTTTTCATTACTATTCTTTTAAAAAGTTTTTATTAGTACATGTTTGTAGTACATAATGTTAGCATTCCTTGTTTGGATTTGGTGAATGTACGTGACATATCTTAATTCCTTTTTTCATTCTTTTTCCCTCCCCTCCTTATCCCTTCCTCTATCTCTTGATCCTCTTCCCATTTGAGAAAGATCTATCTCCCTACTTCTTATTATCTATTATTTTGCTCTTTGTTTATAATTTGGATTTTTCATATAAGAGAAACCATGTGATATTTAAGCGTGTGTGTCTGATTTATTTCACTTAGCATTATGGTCTACAAATAATACAAAAGGGGGCCGGGGATTTAGCTCAATGGTGCCACCATGCTAGGTCCTGAGTTTGATCCCCAGTACCAAAAACAAACATACAAGTAACACAGGTTTACCTTTCCTTATGGCAGAGTGGTACTCCATTATGTGTAAATACCATGTTCTCTTTATCTGTTTATATGCTGATGGACATACAGGCTCCTTCCAAGATTCAGCTATACTATTACTTCTTTTATACAATAGTGTTATTTATCATTGTATTGATATTTATTTTCACATTTCCATAGCCATGAAAATAATTTTAAGAAATTTCACCTAAAGATCTGATGTGATTTTGTTACTATGGAATTTACTGAATTTTGCAAATATTTAATAAGTATATATTAGGTACAGAGTATTTATACTATGGTGGTGACCAAACGGGTGTGAGTGTGTATACATGTGTGCGTATCTGTGTGTGTATGTGTATGTGTGTGTGGTCACTGTCTTCACACTGTAGTGCACAACTTTTTAATTGAGTATAATAATAAAAGGTACTGTGGGGCATGTTGAAAGGAATTAACTCCCAATATGGGGGATGTAGGTTGACAATAAGGAAAGCTTCCCAGCAGAAAAGATAATCAAAACTGAAATGTGCCGGGGATTTAGCTCAGTGGTGCTGCCACCTGCCTTGCAAGCACAAGGACCTGAGTTCGATCCTCGTACTGCCCCCCCCGCCCCCGCCAAAACTGAAATGTGCTCATTTGAAAGAAGTTTGAGAGTTATTCATGTAAAACTAGTTCATAGAGAGAATGGGAGAATTGTTCCACACAAAATAAATAAATGTAAAGGGCTGGGAACAAAGGCAAGCATAGCTTAAGATACTGAAGAATGATCAAAAAGTTGAAGATGAAGAGAATAATGATATCCAGAGCCTTGAAAACCTTATTAAATAGTTTATATTTAATCCCTGGTACAGTGGGTAAGCCTAAAGCATTTTAAAATAGAAGAGTTGGTGAATCAAGTTTCCATTTTAAAAAGGTACGGTTGAGGGGTAGGAGGAGAGTGATGATCAAAGTATGTTATGTACATATACGAATCTGCCAAAATGAAACCCATTTATCTTTATAACCAACAAAAAAGAAGATACAATTATAGTTATGTATTGCATTTCAGAATATCTGTGTGTGTGCGCGTGTGTTTCTCTGTGTGTTTTGTATGGTAGTCATTGTTTGGAAGGAAGAACTGGATTAAATATTTTTATATACTAACTTAACTCCTGAAAGTCACTACCTAGCAGTATAATACACTGGCCAGAAAATAGATTTTGGGATTATAATCGTGGTTTAAATGTTGGTTTTGTCACTTAGTAAGTGGTGTTGGGCAAATTACCTAACCATCTGAAATCTCACTTCCTCTACAGTGTCGGGATGATAATAGCACCTACCTCCCAGAATAGTTACAAGAGTTTACTTTAGATAATAGCACAATATCTGGCACATAGTAGGGGCTTTATATTGTTAGGTCACTTTGAGAGCCTTGAGTAAACGTACAATTCTAAATAATCTTTTATGAAAGGCCCTCCCCCATAGAATTCATCTCTTTAAAATATCATTTGTGTTTATTTTAGAAAGCCTTCATTTGGGAATAAAATCAGGTAAATGTGACTTTTTTCCTTCCTAAAATTATTTCAGCTTTCTAGGTAGTAAATGTTACTTTTTATGGATAAATTGCTTTATTTAGCACATTTGATGATATGAAACATTCTTGTTCTGCTTAATTTGTCTAATACTTAGTAAATTCTGTGAAATAGACCTTCTCTTTTACTCTTTATTTCATTACTTTCCTTTATATTTTTCTTCATTGTACTTATTACCTGAAATTTTGTTGTGTAAATATTCCTGTCTGTTGCCTGTCATCCTTGAATGTGTTAAGCTTCATGAAAGAAGAAACTTTTTCTTGTTTGCAATGTTAGGAAGGAAGAGGTTTTCTTTCACCTTCTTATATTTAATTCTCGAGGGCCTGCTAATTAGCTGACAAAGATGCATTAGCAGGAGAAAAAAACCAGATTGATTTCATATGTAACTATATACATTCTTATATACATAAGGAATTTCATAACAAAATATGCCTCAAAGGGATGATTAGAATTTGGGACCTGTATAACATTCTAGTAAGTGAAGAGGAAATAGAGAAGGCTTATTATAGGTGAAAAAATAATTTTTGAGGAAGCTGATTAGGCCCTTAGAAGCATAAATTGAAGATATCATAGTTTTATAATAATTTCAATCCCTTTCTTCCAGAATTATCAGAAATTAAATATAATTCTTGTAGTCACAGTTAAATAAATCCATGGTTTTGTTTAACTGGTATGATAAATGAAGGAATATAATAGAGGATATAGGATTTGAGTGGGTTTTCCTCCAGTGTTCTACAATTATGTTACACTTTGTTTTCTATTAAAATCTTTTTTTTGGGCCAGGGATTTAGCTCAGTGGTTCCATCGCCTGCCTTGCAAGCACAAGGACCAGAGTTTGATCCCCAGTACCAAAAAAATCTTTTTTTTATTAGTGCCTTTCTGTTTTACAAAATATTGGACTTCAGTGAGGTATTTTCATATATGTTTATAACATATTTTGATTATATCCATCCCCTTGTTCCTGTCCCCCTCCTTTTATTCCCTTCCTCTCTCTTCTGCTTTCATACTATCTTTTGTTTTTTGTTTCTTAGATTCTACATATTAAGGAAAACATGTGTTATCTGTCTTTCCGAATCTGACTTATTTCATCTAATATGATGATGTCCAGTTCCATTTTTCTACAGATGACATAATTTTGTTCTTTTTTTTGGTACCAGGGATCGAACTCAGGTCCTTGTGCTTGCGCAGCAGGTGGCGAAACCACTGAGCTAAATCCCCGGCCCAATTTTGTTCTTGTTTATGGATGAATAATACTCCATTGTGTGTATATATTCCACATTTTATTAATTCATCCATCAATGGACACCTAAGCTGGTTCCTTTGTTAAAATGTTGTGGTTTGTCATTATTGTTTTGTTTTCTGAGACAAGGTCTCCTGCGTAGTTCAGGCTTTCTTCAAACTCACAGCTGATCTTCCTGCTTCAGCGTCCATAGTGTTGGAAATTCAGGCAAGCACCACCACGCCTGGCTTAAGGTCTTGTTTGAATTTCAACTATTCTCATCCCACTGGATACTGAAGTTCTAAGAACTCAGAACCAGAATTTTTCTGTTTTTTGTTTTTTATGGGGGTTTTTTTGGTTTTTTGAGTCAGGGTTTTGCTATGTGGTTGAAGCTGGCCTTGAACTTACTTTGTAGCCCAGGCTGGCCTGGAACTCACAGCAATCCTCCTGCCTCAGCCTCCCAAGTGCTGAGATTATAGGCATGTGCCACCAGGGCCTGGCATGTGTGTCATTTTTTTCTGTAAGGCTTTTCTTAAGGTAAGGAGATTATTCAGTATTTATATTATATCCTTTTTTATGTTAATAACAAAACATGAGTTTTTAAAACAATATAGTAAAATAGTTTTGTCCACAAAAGTTAGTGTTGGGACATCCTGCTTCCCCAAGATTCCATCTATTGAAAATTAAACTTTAAAATTTAACTTCGACTCTTGTTTCTGTTCTTACTGCCTTATTACCCCAATTAAGGGAAAGATATTAAAATTCACTTTTTTTCTCTTTTTTCAGGCAAAAGGCAAGATTGTGGTAATGCCAGGTATTTATTTATCTCCTTATTTGTTAGCATAATACTGGACTGTAGTAGAGCCAAGGGAGCAGGAAAATGTGGGAGGAAGTATTATAGGATGGTATTCAAAGAGAACAATATATAATTTGATTAAAATGTTTAATTAGGATATCTGTGCTGGAATTTAAAACTTTAGAAAGCAGAAAACATTCTAACAAGATCAGTTTACAGAGGAGTAAATAAGGAACTAGGTTAGGATTGGGGTTTCTCCATTTTTGCTTTCTCACAGTATAGAATTTTATAAATTTAGCTGTTCATTTCTGGTAAGGCACAGCAAGTTTGATGCTGCTTTATTGTGTAAGGCCAAATGCTTAGATGACATCCCTAGATAAATATAATAATCTATCAGTTCATGAAAATCTCTGATGGCCAGATTTTTTTGTAGCCAGTATAATTTGAGCATATTCTCTTAATGATAACCATAAGATCAATTAAGTACATAATGGCTCATTAGAAATGAAGAGATGGGATAGTTTTTTAAAGAATTGGATGAGGCAACCTGGAATCAGAATGAGACAAATATAAAGGCACTCTTTTTTTTCCTTTTTTTTGGTATCGGGGATCGAACTTGGGTCTTTGAGCTTGCTCAGCAGGCGGCGAAACTACTGAGCTAAATCCCCACCCTATAAAGGCATTCTTAATTTTTTTTTTTGTTATTTTTACAAACATAGAAAAGTAGAAAACAGAATAATCAATGATTATATGCTCATTCTCTAGTTCAAACATTTTGCCACATTTGTCTTTTTTCTATCCTGAGATATTTTAAAGTTAAATTAAAGGTATCATGGCATATTATCTTTATGCATCTCTATAAAAAAGGGCATTTTACTATAACTACAATGCCATTATCACCTCTATCAAAATAAATACTAATTCTTTAATGCCATTTAATGTCTGTTCCATACTATTCTTCTCCAGTTGTCCCCAAAATGTATTTTATAGCTAATATATGCACACTGCTCTCCAATCAAGGAACAAGCATTGGATTTAGTTATCTTTCATAATATTTTTTAATATAGGAGATTTTTCTTGCTTAAAAGAAAAAGCCGTTTAAAAAGTTTGGCCACATACAGTTATGCACACATGTAATCCCAACTGCTTAGAAGTCTAAGGCAAGAGTATTGCAGATTTGAGGGCAGCCTGGACAATTTAGTAAAACTCTATCTCAGAATAAAAAGTAAAAAGGGTTGGGAGTGTGGCTCAGTGGTAGAGCACCCTAGGTTTGATCCCTAGTTATGGAAAGGCAAAAAAAGTTTGCATCACTTAACTTACAGAATGTCTTACTTTTTGGATTTATCAGGTTGTTTCTTTTTAGCTTATTCTGGTTAGCTTATTCCTCTGGCCTCTGTATAACTCGGAGTTAGAGTGAAAAGTTTGATTAGATTCTGGTTACATATTTGGGTGAGAATAATAATTGGGTCAAGATTCTGTATACTTTGTATTATATCACATTAGAAGGTATTTAGTCTCTAGTCATTTCACTACTAATGATGCCAAGACTGACCAGGATTCAAAATGCTAACAATCGCCTAAAGGGCAGCTTTATGAAAGAGGCCAAGTGGAGTGTATTGTCAGGTATTAGGAAGTCTTTGATGTATAGCAAGTCCCTGAAACATGAACAGAAAGAAAGCATATTTTATCTATCAAATTGAGGTAATCAGGGAATTTAAGTGTATTTAGTCTTGATAACTAATGTCCGGGTTTAGACAGTTGTTCATTTTAAGAGTACTTTTGCTTAATGCATAATTACTGAGTTATCTGCTATGTCCAAAGCATTACTTGGAATACAGTTATATAAATAACTACTTTCTGAAGAAGCTAACGGTCTTAGGTCAGAAGATGTTATATACAAAAATATTTGTGATTAAGGTATTTAACAAACCTTACCAAGCAAATGTTAATTACATGTCAGTTACAATTGTACATATATATAGGTGTAAAAAATAGAATGACTATGAAGTAAAAAATAGAATGAATATGAAGTAGTCCTTCTATTTGAGGAGCTTGAAGAATAGAATTGTAAACAGTTTATGACTTTATGTAAATAAATACCAGCAAGTTAAAATTCCTAGATAAATCAGTCTGAATACCTAATAAGTATTCATCATTAGGAAATATAAAGATAAACAGAACATAGTATTGACCTATAAGGATTTTTCATGATGAAACCTATAACATAGAGTCCACCAAAAAAATGTATACACACTTCAGGAAAAGATAAATTTGTATAAATATTTTAATACTAAATTGAGATATCATGAGATTGATTCAAGTTACCTTTGGCCTCTGCAGTTAGAAGAGATGCTCAAAATGGTGGCCATTAGCTTCCAGACATTTACTAGTATGGAGAACTGCTGCTTAGATAACCTTGGTCATTGAAATTGCTGCACTTGCATTTTCAATTTCTTTAAGGGCGGGCAGTGTAGTAGGTTTTCTGTGATATAGGACAACCTCTAAGGTCCTCCATATGAAGATAACACCATCTGTTGAAAAAAATCATACTATTTTTCTTTTTCTGAAGTGTGTATACATTTTTTTGGCAGACCTTGTACTTCAGCTCTGGTTTCCTCATCAATATTGAATTAGTTCTTTGAGGCCCCTTTAACTGCAAAGCTATGTTAGCTGTGTTTGGAAAATGTATTACCTATGTATTGAAGTTGTCAATAACTGAGCAACATGTGTTTAGTGCCCCGATGTTTTATCTTTTAGAAGAAAATAATATGTTTGTTTGTTTGTTTATTGATTGATTGTTCTGGAGATTTAACCCAGGGCCTTCACAATGAGCAGCCCCAGTCCTTTTAAAACTTCAGGGTCTTGCTGAGTCATCCGGGCTGGGATCAAGTTTGTGATTCTTGTGCCTCAGCCTCCTAGAATACTGGGATTATAGGTGTGCCACCACACTCAGTTTATATTATCTCTTAATCTTTACAAGTTTGTGAGATAGACAGTGTTATTCCTCTCTTTTATTGGTGAAAAAGTTTAGGCTCACTAGATTTAAATAATTTATCTAAGATCACACAGCTGTGAAGAGCTACAGTGATGAAGCCAGGATTCCATTCTAAATCTGACTTCTCAGCCTATATTCTTTCTTCTTAGGTTTCAGCAATATGACTATACCACTAATAATAACAACAGTGACAAAGCAGTTAATAAAGTATTTGTTTGTGTGATATTAATAAAATAGAATCAGATTCTTCCGTGAAGTGAAACAAAAAGTTGGTATTGTAATGGATAAACTAGGTAGCATTTTGCCTTATTCCCATTTCCAGTGAAGTCAAGTGTGCTCTTTGAATCCTGAGTCAGAAAGAAAACCTTACAGATTTTCTCAGACACATCTCTGAGGTTGCATTTCTATACTGTTTTCCTCAAACTTATCCTTGCCTTTCATTTTAATTTGATTTTTCTTAAATTGAGGGAGAATAAGGATAGAGTACTGAATGATTTTTCTGCCCCAGAGCAGTCTTCTTCAAGTCGGTAATATGCAGTATAGAATTGCTAGATCAACTAATGAATATAAGAGATTCTGTCATATATGCTGTATGGCTTAACTGTTCTCCAGAATCTGTAGTATACATCTTTTATTACTTTTCTCATTCTTTTTCATTCTAGTGTAAGGGGAGAGTAGTTTTTTCATCAGTGAGAAATTTCGGAATGGAAATTTCAGAATAGTCAGTATTGTTCTCTGTATTTTATGCAAGATTTTGTTCCATTTCATACATTACTTGTTCTTTTTACTAGGAGGTGGCATAACAGACAGAAATCTACAAAGGATCCTTGAGGGTTCAGGTGCTACAGAATTCCACTGTTCTGCTCGATCTTCTAGAGACTCAGGAATGAAGTTTCGGTAAAAATGTATTCTTTGACTTATACAAGAAGGAATGAGATTAATGTTTATTTCTCCAAACAGGACAACTTTGGTTGATGTCATGATTAATGAATAGATGTTATGATTAGTACATAAGTATTGTCATTTTTGCAGTTTAAAAACATTTCTATACTGGTTCTTGTTTTGTATTAAATAAGTAGGATCTTCTGAACATAAGTAAACTTTTACATAGACTGCTTAGTCATTCCAGCCATTGTCTTTGTCATGGTTAAATCTGGCTTTTGCTTCTTCCATAGAAAGACTTAAGTCTGTTTTCAGTGAACTGATGGAACTGAAGATCTGAGTACAGCAGTTAATAATAAATGAATTCAGCAGCTAAGCTTCAGATGAATCACTCACACGTGTCCATTTCCTTTTGCAGAGCTAAGAACTGTGGTATAATGATGGAAGAGTCATAGGCATTTGTGTCCTTCCTATTGAGATCGATTAGTCATCCCTCACCTTTGCTCTGCTTTTCTGTTATTCTGAAATTATATCCCCACTAAGGAATTGAAACTATTATTTTTTAAATTCTTGATAGGATTCCTATAACTTAATGATTTAATCTTTCTAAATTGGGGAAAATGTGATGTAAAAGAAGGAAGAGCCTTAGAATTTGCATTTCTAGATGTAGAATCAAATATGTTGTTTGCTAGACTCAGCTACTAAATATTTCAAGTAAAGACCTTGACCTTACCTTTTTCTTGAGCCATGAAGTAGCCTATAATGTACCAGTAGGGAAGGCTCACTTAACAACTTAATTTTCTGTTCCTTTTCTTATGTTTATTACAGAAATTTCTCTGTTGCCATGGGAGCCTCACTTTCTAACTCAGAATATTCTCTAAAGGTAACAGATGTGATCAAAGTAAGGACTTTGAATGCAATTGCAAAAAATATTCTGGTATAGCTGGACCTCTCTGAGACACATGGATATCACAGTATGAAGGTAGAAGTATACTATAGTTCTGTATCAGCTTTTAGTCTTCTTGGCCGGGACACAATTTTTAAGTTTAATAGGGCAATGGAGTATGTTTTCAAGAAGAAAAAGAAATTGAAAAAGATATTGTTGCATCTTTTGCTAAATCTTGCTGTTATCATGGTTAAATCTGGTCTGCACCTCTTCCACAGAGAGACTTAGATTTCAGTGAAACTAATTAATGCACTGGGAAAATTCAATTGTAAGGTATGAATTCAGAGTGTCACTTCATGGTCAGTTCAATAGCAGTATTTTGCCTTTTCATTTGTAAAATAAAAATTTCCATTCTATTATGGTATAGTCTGTCTTTCTTACTCTGAATACAGTTGGTAGCCAAGTATGAAAGGGAAGATTGTGTTTTGTTTTGCTTTATCCATTTTTTCTTTTTATTATGTATCTGTTGGATATGTTGTTGCCTTGGGCAAGATGCTGAGGTTTCAGAATGAAGTGGTACAACATAAAAATTCCCAGACTTGGAATGTAGGGTAAAAAAGTTTCTAGATTCAGTATCATGCACATATGCAAATATAAATAATCATATTTAATATTTTGCCCACCCCTGCCCCGTGATTTCACTGTGTGATCCTCCAGAGACAAAAGCTGGCCTTATCATCTCTATTTTGTTTAAACAGATTAGCATAAGGCACTGAGAAGGTGATATGAATTGCTTGAGATTTAACAACAAATTTATGTCATTTTTGAGATTTGAACACTAACCTCTTAACCTCCCAAAGCTTCTGCTGTAAGATACTTCTTCAGGTATGTAGAAGTGGTATAAAGAGGACTCTGCTGAGTGTATCAGGCATACCTGAGATCATATCCTGGCTTTTAGTTTAACCAGGAGAAAGTTAACTTTATTTTTTGAAATTTAATTTCTTCATTTTAAAATCAGGAATAGTAACTATAGTTTCTGGTTAAATGATACAGTAAAGCATCAGGTACATAAGGAACACTCACTCAATGTTAGTTCTTTTCTCCTAGGTTAGCTTTCTAGTATATCAGTCTTTGATAGTCTGAAAACTCTTCCCAGGAAGTCAGGCATTGAGTACTGAAGCCCACACTTACTGTTTCCTCCACCTTATTTCCTACTTTGATCTTTCTACACTTCAGCTTTGTTTTAAAATCTTTACTGATAATTTCATGTGCATATGTTTCTCCTCAATAATATTTAGCATTTCAAGGATAGGGAACCATGTCTTCTTACTTTTGTATATTTTCCATCATCCTACCATATTGTATATGCAACAGTATCAGTTACTTTGTGTAATGGAAAAAGAGCACTGAATTGGGAGTCAGGACCTAAGTGCTGGTTCTACCTGTCATGACTTTGATAACTGTGCTGTGTATCTTCTCTTTGTCCTTATAGATTTATTTTCTACCTTTGTTCTGCTTTGTGAGCTGGGAGGCCAATCTGTATGAACTACATCAATGGGTCCCTTGCCAGTCATCTTCTGGTTGTGCTTGTTTGGTAAAAAGTACCAGCAAGACGGTGTCGGGGATTTAGCTCAGTGGCACTGTGCCTGCTTTGCAAGCTCAAGGTCCTGAGTTAGATCCTGGTACCAGCAAGAGTTGGGAAGGTGGGAAGAGTTGGGAAGTGCCCTCCCTGCCATACTATTGTAAGTTAGCTGTATCTTCCCACTTGTCCCTCTTCATACCCTTTTTGGATTCTGGTAACTAGTTTCTCCCCCTTGCTTTTTAAGGCTTATGAGTGGTAATAACTCCAGGCTGGTCTAGCTAGCACACTGCACTGTTTATTTCTTGTTGATTTTCTTTTTTCCTTTTGGATTTTTTTGAGACAGGGTCTCACTGTGTAGTCCAGGCTGGCCTTGAACTTGCAACAATCCTCCTGCCTCAGCCTTCCAAGTGTTGGAGTTATAAGTGTGTGCTACCATTTCTGGCTCCCATGTCCGTTTTCTTAAACCATGCCAGTAACTTTGTATGTAGTTTTTTTTTTAACCAAAGTTTCTTGAAATTTCCCTGTTGATGTATGCCATCTGTTACCTACCAGGACCATGACTAATAAGTAGTGGGCGTGATGGCGTATGACTGTAATCCCAGCCCTCAGAAGGGTGAGGCAGGAGGATCTCTGAACTCAAGACAGCCTAAACTACATAGCAAAACCATGTTAAAAAATAAATAAATAATGGCAATCTTCTTAGAGTTTGATTTTCCAATTTTAAATTCTTTTCAGTTTTGACACTCTGTTTCAACTGTTAAATTTTCTTTTCCTTAAATTCTTTTATTGGTACATTTTAGATATACAACACAATTCCATTTCTCATTGGGAACTTGTACCTTTACATGATGCATCTTGGTTCTTATTTTTTCCCCATTCTCTTCCCTCCCTTCACCCCCTCCACCCTTCCCTATTTACAAAGACTTTGTTTCCATTTTTTCCATTTCTCAGCATTTTTCCTTTCCCTTCTTTCCTATCCCCTACCCCTCCCACTTCCCCTACCCCTTTGGACCTTTTGTTCCTATTTCACATTATCAATTATTCATTTTAATCATCGGTACATTTTAGGTGTACAGTATAATGGCATTCATCATTTGCACCTTTACATAATCTCTCTTGGTTCTTATTTTTCCCCCCTTCCCCTGCCCTCCCTTCAACCCCTCCATCCCTCCGTATTTACAAAGACTTTGTTTCCATTTTTCCATTTTCTCATATTAA